ATAAAAAGATAAACTGATTGTCGCTGGAAAACTTGTGGAAATCTGCGAACTAACTAGGAGGCTAAGCCGCCACAATTTCATTGGTAGAGCAAAAATGTGGAGAACAAAAGAGCACCGGCATCAAAACTCCAAGTGGAATATAAACCCAGAGAACACTTCATCCGATAACCGTCATAACATAAATCAATACATTCCTCGAGAAGGCAAGCCTTACATGCAGTAAGCATAGCACCCCTGGGATTTGTTGAAGGCACCTTTAGAAGAAGCAGAAGAGCATTCCATTACAACTTGTTACCCAGTTGAACCACATTTGCTTGCATTCCAGAAATCGCCCTTAGTTTTGCGGTTTGACGGTTCTCACGGGCTTCGAACCGATTGTCTTACCCTGTGGCTCACTCACCCTACTGCCTCGTTTCCTAGGCAAGTAGTAGGAAGCATGCTCTGAACTTATGCGGTTCTACAGCTATGATTAGGTACGACTGGCACTTCACCAAGTATGATGATACTGCGGAACAGAAAATGATGAAGTAAAAACTGAAATGATATCTGATCGAGAACTTGTCTAAGTGCCCCTGTTCCTCTACCTCGCTTGTAACCCCCAAAATTTGTGCCGAACTAAGTCTTTTTCCTCAGTCCTCCTTCGTAAATTCGTGTTGCGATCCTCGCAGCACGCGTACCATTTAGCGAGATTTCCCTTTCTGATGCGACTTCCCGTCATTTTCTCGTGAAAGCTGCCTTCAAGTCACCCCCTTCGAACAGACACTGCAGATTTACGAGGCTTGACCCGAAATTCAATTGCACCTTCTTCATAGTCTATGCGAAGTTTGACATTTGGAAATCTAGGAAATCGTCTCTCCTCAAGAGCAAAAGAGGCGTAGATTTTTCCATGTACCTCTTCATTCCTTTCGTTCAAGTCCTGTGATAAAGAATGATATTTACGCGTTGACAAACATCTGATCATTGATACGCTTACAACTCACCCTGATGAACGACTCGACGCCGCGCCGAGTGATCTTGTTCGGTAAACCGATTTCGAAGTCATGCGCAGTTATTTGCGCAAGCATATCGTCGTCTATTGGAATAGGAAAACAAACGAAGGAAA